AATTAAATATGACTTTAATAATTGTATAAAAAACATGTATATATTTATATAGTTAACCAAGAAATCAAGCATTTATTTAGTACACGTTGTCAGTCACTAACAGCAACTAGCTAGTGCAGTTTAAACTTACATTTGTTCTTAGTTGACGCCACCATAGCGCAATGGATTTAACTTTGGCCTATGTGGTTGGTTGTCTAGGTTTGGAACCTTGTATAGTAATTCTATTAGTTGACTTTTCATTGTTTTAATTTTTTCCAGGTATGACAAAAAGCTGTCAAAACACGTCTATATGAGGGAAAAGGTTAAACATTTTTGAGGTACAGTTTGCAACAAGAAAAGCCATTGTTTATTTGTACTTCGGCCTATCTCATTTTCAAAGAAAGGATGTAATAGAAACTTATCTAGAGCCGATCAAGTTATTTTAGTTCTGAAAGTTACATTTATCAATATGAAAAAAGTGCAAACTTCCAGCTTCAAAAGTTTTCTTTTAGTTTGTACAAGGAAAATACATGAATAAAATCTGTGGTTACTGTGTGACGGTTATGATTATGATGATGATGTTGTTGATGATGATATTTATGATGATGATGGTAGTGTTGATGGTGCTGATTATTATGATGATGATAATAATGATTATTCAGAGTTGAAAATAAGGAACATTAACCGACGTACACAGCTCTCCTGTTTGGACACCATTTCCTTTTAATCATAGCAGGTCATGTTGCAAGTAATAAAGCATTCAGAACATATCACTGATTAGTCATCAAGGAAATAATACAGATTGTCGCGTGACCTTTGCTGTAAACAATTGAAGGATTGTGTAATTGTTTCATAATGAATTAAGGATGTGTTTATTCGACATCCGGAGCAATATTAAGTGTATTTCTATAAAATCATGAATGAAAAATAAATGTCTGACTTTTAGAATTTATATTATCTTTAGATAAAACAAATCCGGATTGTCACTAATATATTTTATTTGTACATTAAGTTTGTGAAACGTAATCATTTGCAAATGAATAATGTACATTTAACTTTGATCCCTTCATATCGTTCCCGACGGACAACGTGATCAGAAAACATTATACATGACGTATATAGTAAATAAACAAAAAATAAAACTAAATAGTCATGACATTAATGTTTAATATGTTGAAAGCTTATTGGAAATAACTGAAAAACGGCATATATTATCTAAATAAAACAGTGTTTCATGCAATAAAACCCTAAATCAAACTACCGGAATTCTAATCCTGAATTGTAATCGCAAACACTGAGAAACAAATTAATTTCACTCCAAACTTTCCTTAACATAGCAATTCTTGGCCTTTTCATTTATGAGAACAATAGAACAAACCCCATAATGTAGCTCTGGTTTGTACGGACAGACGGACGGAAGGACGGACGGACAAGGGTAAATCTAAATGCCCGCCACTAAAGTGGGGGCACAAAAATCACGAGCTGAATAAGGCGCGAAAAGCGGTCCGTACATACGGACAGGAACAATACATGGGGAAATAATTTTCTTCCAATGAACTTCGTTTAAACGAATAAAGAAAACTTTAATATGTTAGAACACTGCTTATTATCCACGATTATCGCGGAAGTTATCTGGTGATTGAAAACAAGCCTGAACATGAAATCATGAAGAAATATATTTTTATAAATAATGTGTCATATACTTCACACTACAGTGGGTATTGTACGAAAAACTCATTTTGGACCATTCCTCAATTCAATTTAACTTCAACGCCAGTAAATGGCCCATTTCAAAACTAAATACTAGTAGATAATCTATTTCATGAGATTCTAGTTATTTATACAGTTTGATTTCTCAATAGTAGTCTATTTGTGAATTCAACAATATTCCTAGCTTCATTTACATAATGGGCTCCTTCTTCTGCCAGTTCCGTTGCTTTATTAAGCAAAATCACAGCCTTTGAGAATTGTCTCTCGGTTACATAAACCCTTGCCTTGCAAACCATATAAATCATGCCCCTCCGCGGATCAATCGGTTCATTACTTTCCAGTGTTCTCTCAAAACATTCAATTACATTCGAAGCTAATCTGACATCATCGACCGACACGATATCATTTTCGCGACTATCAAGATCATTATGAATGTTAAGTTTGTGTTGTGCAACATATAGTAAAAACATTCTCTTTAACTGTCGACTAAACTGTTCACACCCATTACTGTCGGATTCGAGGAAACACAGACCTGTTATCATTTCGTCAAGAATTGCTTTACGATGTTCTTCTGTTCTCTGATATTCGAAGATTCTCTGGTTTGTGTACCTGCTGTCATGGCAGATAAGTGCTTTTGTTAATGGATCTTGCCATGACGCACTGAGATGTTTCGCAATACGAATATACTCTTCGGCTGAATTAACGTCTCCGTCCATAATGGCAGCAATTGCCATTTTACTGTTGTAGAATATCACAGCTAAAGTGTTATCCAGTCTTTTTGGCCAGCGTTCAAGCATTCCGTCCAAAACCTCTCTAATAAGTTGTGTATTCCGATTGCAGTGTTGGATACGAAGCCATGTCACGACAGCAAACCTACCGGCAGCTTTTAGTAAATCATTATCGTTTTTAAATCGATTGAAAGAATTACTGATTTTTGTGTACTTTTCCTTCAAAAACTCGGCCCTGTCAAAGAATATATTTCGGTCGATGCTTCTCTTCAACTGATAATAGAATGTTTGCAAATGCTTTGAATGAGGCAGTTCCGGCCTGTGTATCGGTCTGTAAACTGGTCTTGATATTGCATTTGCTATGTCGCTTTGTCCAATTTTATCCAAAATATTATAAACAAATTGTAACGATCCTGTGTCGTATATATCACAAATAAACGCTGTAAATCGTTCTTTGTTTGATGAATACTCTGAGCAAATTTGAGTTAATGTTTTGCATCTTTCTCTTTGCAATATTTCAAATCTCCCTAAGATATCAATCGATACCAGAACATCAACCTTTATACAATCGTCTGGTATACTAGAAATTGTTTCTATGATCCAATTTCTGCAACTTTGACGACGACTCCTTGTATGTTTATTCTCCATTTATATACAATGTATTTATAAACCGTTTTTATTTACTCAATACTATCAAGTGTATCTAGACTGCAAATTTATACTAAATAATCTGCCGCTGTTATGACAATACATTTTAAAGAAAATATGTCTGGAACATTGCCAAATTGTAAATAATTATACTAAAAAGTGTTTAAGGTCTTGAGAAACAGGTAAATATTACAAGATAAAAGTTGTGTATTAGTTGATACTCATATATTATTACATAAAGCTGGTAAAAAACAGAAAGCTGATAAATCTTTTTCAAAAGGTTAAGTTGTTAGACCACTTTTGTTAGTTGTTAGTTTGAAGTAGGTTCGCTTTCGCAAGGTTCATAGTCAACAGTAAAGAATCAAAACACCGAATGCACTGAATTTGCAAAGGCCTTCTATATGATTAATATGATTATTATATGGATGACTTTTACATGCCTTTGGAATTGAAAACAAATGTATAATCCAAATAATTTGAATTAAAATAAAATATGTTGTGTAGGGATGGGGAAAAAGGCATATTTTTGCGTAAATGATTAACATGAGTCTTTAGTAATACACCCTTCACGACATTCAGAATATTCCTCATCAGGGGTAATCTCTCTTGTCCTTTCACCAGTTTCTTATACGTAACTTAGTTTTTCAATGATTTCTTTATTGTGTCCGTCATGTTGTATTAAGCATCAGGTTTTACTAAGTTGTGCGCATGTTTTTGTTGTTGTTTATACGGGATTCACGTTGATAATTTGAGTATATTCAGTCGCAGATTTAATTCGTCTGGTAAAGCTCATTCGCTTATGAAGTTGAAACAAAATTATCAAGCGTGCCTATTTATGATAACAATTGTATGATGAAGTTTTTTGTTATCAATTTTTTCTTAACTACCTACATGAGATATTATATTTCCCTTGTATGTTTGTATTAAATGATTTAAACATTTCATGATATACATTTTATCTGTTACTTAATACTAACAGCAGGATATTCACGTGATGAACTGTTCCTTACTTTAGAACTAAAGCTAGAAATTCCGTCTGTCGAACTGTACAAATAAACCATGCACCGGCTATAACCTATAATCTCCTTAACAAAGGCCGCTATATTTAAATTTTCAGTCAATATTTTAGTGGAAGATATTATTTGAGTTGTACTGTATTTTATAACTGTATAAAGGATGTTGTAATCACCACAAGGAAACAAAATATGTTGATAAACAAAATATACAAAAGGAAGTGATATTCATTATTCATGTTTCAACATTTTGTCGAATAGATTATTTAAACACTATATATAATAGAAGTTATTTTTATAACTTTTAATATGTAAAATAAAACTTTTAAGGCATTGTATACCATGAGTGTGACTTATCAAAATCTCCATTTTAAATAAGGATTTTTTTTTTCAAATTCAATGGCAGCTTACTAAAAAGAGCTTAGTGTCCCCAATGTTCTTCATTTATCATATTTTAAGAGCGTACTCAGTTTAAATAAACTCTATTGTAAAGTTTATTTTTTATCTGTGGTCGAGGTTACATGTTTCATATGAAACTTACGGTAACATAAACTTAAAACATGACCGGACTCTGTAGTATGACAATATATAATGTATATTTGTGAGGTTATTGAGTTAACTTAAATTGTAACAATTTCCCCTCTGTTAGTGAAAAACCAATCAAGATTAAATTGTAATACTGTATTTCAAACAAATCAATATTAAAATGTAATACTATATTTGACACGAATACGTGGAAAGATCCCATTGAGTAAACCTTTTTTTACCATAAACGATTTAAATTTTTGTCTTCCAAACCTATACCTTTACAATATATGTATAATTTCCACAACAGTTAAGTTATTGAATTTGCTGGACTATTAAAGTTAATTATATATAAACAAGTTTCAACATTATTGATAATCTGCCTTCCATTGTGTCATTTGAGATATCTTTCTAATACATAAAATACATTTTACCAGTGATTTTTAAACTACCATTTTATCAACATTATACAAATGTAGTACAGAGTTTTTTATACATTGTACAATTGTATATCAGTTGAGGATCTCTGTTTGTTTGAATGTTATAACGATCACATAACAAACAGAACAAAAACGACACTACACCTTTAGTTAAACCATGCAGTGTGTGTTACGTTGTTTGGATTTATTTCATATTGACTTTGTCAGGCGCAGCGGAGACGTATCAAAAGACATATCGTACCGTATATATATAATGTAAGTTACTAGGAATAAGCAATTATGGCTGATAGAGATAGAGATACTTTCATAAAATGTGGAATTTGTTCCGAAAAATTCGATAAACCTAAAATTTTACCTTGTTTTCATACAGTTTGTCATAAGTGTTTGGAGAATATAGTAGAATTAACGGCACAGAATGGACGTTTTGAGTGCCCGTTTTGCCGAATGGGAATAACAGTTCCAGAGAATGGAGCCAGCGGTTTTCAAACCAATTTCTATATCTATTCGTCAGACGTGATTTCAGAGCTGGATTGTGATGTATGCGGTGTTAGTCAGTCGGCTATACATGAATGTAAACAATGTGATCAAAATTTCTGCAAAGGTTGCGGTAGTATACATTCACGTATAGCGTCTTCTGCCAATCACACTCTTGTTAATATTTCATCAGGAAAGAAGGAAAATGATAAAGGACCTGCATCCGCGCCTTGTAATAACCATCCATCCATGGAAATAACAGATGTTTGTAAAGACTGTAATGAATTGGTGTGCACCGCCTGTATTACAATGTTTCACGTGGGACATTCATGTAATGCAGTCTCCAAGGAAGCTGAAGACAGGAGAAACGAATTAAGGGAACTAATCAGTATATCAGAAAACAATTTGATTGAAATGGAAAAGGACACCCGTGTTGTTAAAAGACAATCTGAATCAAAATATAAATTTTTCAACGAACAGATATGTGAATTGAGAAAATAGAAAGATTCTTTAATTGCAAAAATAAATGAGAAATTCAAATCATGTGAAGAGAAAATAAAACATTTAAACGATGAACAGTTGATGTTGGCCAATCAAATGAATGACACACGAAAGAATTATACAACAAACGTTCACAAAATTATAGAAAACTCCAGACAAATTGTTGAATCAAGTGAAGATGCTTTATTACTTACGAATTATGAGAGCGTCTCCAATGATTTGAATGGAATTAAGGAAGAATTGGCCCCTGCTGTTTCAGGTAAACCATTGATGGAAACCGTTGAACGTTGTACATCATGGCTGATAACACTTAATCAACATATTGAAAACATTTAGTTCATTGTCATCAAAACGTATTGTTAATATTACAAACATTATGTACGTTATTTATAGACAGTTACTTATCAGGAAGTGAAGTAATCTTTCTACTTTTGAATCATACGACAGACGTGCTTCTGAACACCACCACCTGGAACAGGTGCATCATTTAGATTCCGCGGAGTACGAGATTTAGGAAATTATGTATAACAAGTGAATTCTTGTAAATGCATAAAAGCATAAAAATTAAACAAATATTATGCAGATATGTTAATTGTAGTTTGATGCTTGAATATGTGTATGTGTTAGTAGTATATGTATCTATATTCAGTTCAATAAAACAAACGCTTTTCTTAGCTTTCAACATTTTGTCACCAGAACTATTTTGTGTATATTCATGTCGTTAATATATGTATAACCATTGTATGTATATTGTATCTTAATATATGTTGTTAATATATGTAAACATGTATCTTAATAAAAGTGTAAGCATATAATATATCAGAATTATTTATAAATGTCTGAAATAAAACCCAACAGATTTTGTTTTTTATTATACCTCACCACATAACATGGAGGTATCATTTTGTCGCGTGGGTTGGTTTGTCGAAACAGGTCTCTTTAATCATTTCATAAGTAGCTGTGTATGGTCGCCAGGTACAATTATGTGACCGCCTTATTCAAGACAATTATGGGCGAAATAAAACTAAATGAACTTTTAAAAGGGGCTCAGAGGTTATGTAAAACGAAGCCCACAACAATGTCTAGCAGCACAATATCATCGATACGGTACCAAGCATGCGCATCACGGACGTCTGTTTGACAAAAAAAATTCAAGTGACATGATACTCATTTGTTTTACTAACACATTTCAGTTGAATAAGTAATATAACAAAACAGATTGACTATTAAAATAGTGATTGACCAATAATTGATAGTGAAAAAATGTTTCTGGTTGGAAATAAAAACTACCTAAATTATAAAAAAGTCTGCCTCACTATTTTAAAAATACAGATCATTACCGATAAATAAGGAGTGATATCAATGATATATTTCGTGGGTCAAATGGATTCTTGAATATTTGCATAGTAAAATATAACGTAGAACGCAATTATAGCAAAATGTAGCTATTTTGACTTTTACCAATGCACTCATCATCGACACTAAGATGGGTATAATATGACTTTTATGGGCAGAAAACCTATCCACTCTGTCATTAAAAACTATTCCATTAAGTAAACTGGAGCCATCCAACGGGAAATGTATGAAATTGGAAAAATCTAAAATCACAACAGAGACATCAAAAATGTCGTTCCGAACGACAAACTAAGAACTGAAATATAAAATTTCTGATTGAATCATACGTATTGACTTATATATTTAAAGTTGCATGCCTTCAGATCAATCAAAATAATTCAAGAAAATCAAACTTGAGAAAATTGTACTATGATTTTATAAAAAATAAAAAGATTTAAGATTCAGGTAATAATAAATATATGTAAAATTGCGATTAGTGACTGATTTTGCAGTATTTAGCATCATATTTCTACTGTGTGACCAATTCAATAAGTGCTACTTTTGTATATTTCGACATTCTTGCAAGGTGTAAAATACTTTGTTTGTTGACTTAACAATATTAAACGTTTACATTTTAAAAATGTTCTTGATTTGTCTTGTTTGGCTAACAGCTCACCAAGAGGTCATATGGTGCCGAAACAGGAATTACCTCGCTTGTTACATACTGAAAGCAACACCAGGGGTCAAAACCATCTCACCTGCTGTGACTAAGAGATGAATAGACTCCAATTATTCGTACAAATTTAGTCGCCTCTTACGATCACGCAGGGATAAAAGGTGCCTGCAATATTTGTGTACCCTTAAATTGCAAAGTTGTAAAAAAATTTTTCTACAATAAGCATAAATCTGGAGATATGCTGCTTTTGATATGTTGTTTCTTCTTTCCATGAGACATATGTCAAATACCTTACAAAACTGAATCATCTTCGAAACTAGCTGTATTGTTTTCAGAGATTTTAATTAGGAAGGGGGCAATAAACGAACCTCTTACCCAACTCAACCCAGCAACACATGACCACCGGCAAGGAGTCCAGAAGGACATCGAACAGGACAGGGTACATGGTTAAACCACGGATGGGGTGTTTTTACAAATTGTAAATCAACAATAAAAGAAGGGAGGTTAACTATGCATAAGATTGATTATATTCCTTTCATTTAACAGAGTAATTAATGAGTATTGTCCCTTTACTGAGGTTTTTTGTCATGACGAGACTGGAAGTAATATTTCAACATCAATATAGGTCTTGGCAAATACCTGGTGTGCAAAAAATTTCAATCATTCGCTCACTCCGCTTTTCCAGAATAATTATTGTAAAATTGACCAACAATAAGAGCTCTTTTCACTAAAATCGTGCTAATAATAGCACAAATACGAGTTTCAATTTATTTTTGAGTATATTTCTGAATTGACATTTGCATATCTTTCCGTTTAAAGTGTCTAAATTGATATTGTAAGAAATTCAATTTTTCTGTTTTTAAGGGTTTGTACCCAGTGGAGTACCTGGATTAAAGGATTGTCGAACAGCAGAATAACAAAATTTTTGATCATTTTAAAGGAAAATATAAATATAATTAATTAGCCCCGCCATGACAAAACCAGGATAGTGTGTTTGCAACCAGCATGGATCCAGACCAGCCTGCGCATCCGCGCTGTCTGATCAGAGTTTCTTCACTTGCAATTGGGTTCGTAAGCGAACAACATGGATCCTGATCAGACAGCGCGGGTGCACAGGTTGGTCTGGATCCATACAGACTGCATACGCACAATGTTGGTTTTGTCATGGCGCGGCTTAATTATAAAAACGAGTTTAACATTTTGTATTATGTCCAAATGAATGTACTATCATCTATTATAAATGATATGTCGCCTTATTTTTTAGTTAGCACATCTTAATTCATCTTAATCATCAAACGCTAAAATGAATGCTATTGACCCTCTGCCAAATACTCTCCGGTGCTTCATTGACTGACCCAGATACGATTATGTCCATATGTCAATGTAGGAATATTTAAACATAATAGTGTCAGTAATATTTGAGACTGGAAATACGTATGAATTAGAGTATTTTTATGTCCAGATGAAACATAACATTTTTTTTTATTAAAATTTGTAGTATTTTGAGTCATTTAACACAATCTAAAGATGTAATGTATATATACTGGCTTTTAATAAAAGCCCAAATACAATTCACATATATGTTGATTTTTATATTTATTATGTTTAACAAACTACTCAACTCGTTACACTGAACCACTTGATGGCTATAAATACTGAATTAATATAGAAACAAACAAATTGCTGTTTATCATACCCACATAAGAAAAAGTTAATCGGGGTATGATCTTGACATCTTATAAACTTTGTATCATAGTTTTGGGACCTTAGTGTTGAAAATGTTAAACATAATGTGCAAAGTACGTTTCCTGCGGTGCAGGTATTAGTTACCCGCACTTCAGAGCATGCCCATTGATTGGCTCATCTTTTCTTGGATTTACTTATTGTCCCGGCAGAGAAAACGATAGTGATAGAAATATCATATACAGATGCTTGTTCATTAATTACTTTTTTCTGGGGTACAAAAGAGAAAGAACATTAAAACACTCGGCAATCTGATTTATAGCCCTCGCCTCGTGTTTCGATGCTCTTTCTATAACTTGTTTCATGTCTATCTCTATTTAATCTTATTTACCGTGCTATTACATATTATCAAACATAAGAAGGTTAGATCTATCCGATGTTAAACAGACAAACATGCAATAATGTGCCCAATGGTGTAGTAGCATCTCATGTGAAGAAGCGTATTTTAGTGAATTTTCTGTAAAGTAAGTAACATTCAATATATCCCTTAAAATAATTTAACTAATTGTATGTATCATGGTTTATAAATTTTACAGTATATGGATTTTCTTTCAAAATGTTATTTAGTTGTTTCTATTTTGAGAGAGGTTATTGGCACCTTTGCTCAACTTTTCTGAGTAATTTATTAGTTTGACAATTATGTTATTGACATGATTACATTTACTCCTATGAATGCTCTGATACAGCTAACAACAGTTTTACAATGTCATCAATGATTTTGAACGATTTTTTTACAATGGTAAAGTTACGTAAGATCAGATTTCAAAGTTCCATTTGCTTCATATATTATTTTTGCTTCTAGGTTACACATATTATTTTATTTGAGGACTATTTTAACACCACTTGTCATTGAATAGCACAGTGCATCTATTTAGGTTTTATGAGTGCTGCTGCTATAAACACATTTGTAAAAATTTTCACTGTAATGTTATATTTGTTCTGAAATGATTTTGTGCCTTCTTGCATTTCTTCAATATTGTGTCCCAAAGGTTTTAATTAAAATTATGAGTTATATAAAATTCATCTAAACAATGGAATCGTCGGGAGATGTTTTTTCATTATAACAAATCAAACAGTAGGAATCCAAACGGCTTATGTTTTAACACAGTACTGTAGTTATCGGTATACTATAGTTTTCGTAAACACCAGCATATTTAAAGTGGCCTTCATCGTTTCTAAATGTGAAATATGTTATTTTTTTTTAGATAAATCGGTTCATACTACTGTCAAATCAAAAGATTTAAGGTGTAAAATGAAATTTGTCGTCGATAAGATACAAAATAATGAGGAAATCCCTCTATACCTCTAATCTACCGGTCCGTTCTCTATATATGTAGATTAATAAAGTCTTATCTTCTATTTTTTAGAAAGGAACGCCACTGCGTTCTATAAATAGCTCTTGGGGCGCTGTTTCGAAGATGGTTTTACAGTGATATGATGAATTTTTCCAGGATATTATTGAAACAACACAGAATTGTTTTT